TTCTACAGAGGTATTTCTTACTCATAGATTTAACATTACTTACTTAAAGCCACACTATAATCAGTCATATACCAGGGGCAATCTGTCCCCAGGGAGTTCTGCGTCCCTGCCCCTAGCTAGCAGTTGGGGTCAGGCCGGCAACCCGGTCCCGTAAAAGCCCTTACCAGCAGACAAACCAGCAGATTTGCGGCCAGGGGTTCCTGATCCCTGGCTCGGCGTCCTGACCAGGGGCTTACCTGATCAGGACGACGAGCCTGTTATGACGGGTGTAGGGCAAAGCCCTCCCAGGGAATCTTGCACCCTGAGGTTACGTGGTGGGGGGGATGGCCCCCCCGGCCCCCACTCTTCCTCCTTGGGAGGCATGCCTGGTTGTGCCGAGGCGTCGCCCGGCTGGAGCCCCACAAATGGGGTCGATCTGCAGCGAGCGTGCCGTGTAGCGGCCTGGAACATCCTCAGTCTCTCGGAGGATGATCGACTGCCTTTGTTGTCGGGGGAGCTGAGGAGGCTGGGGATTACCATCGCTGCTCTCTCTGAGGTGCGACGGCCTGGTAGTGGTGAGACCAGTAGTGGGGGTTATACCTACAACTGGTCTGGCTGCAGCAATGGTGCGCGCCTTAGGGGAGTCACGGTGGCTGTCTCTGACCGCTTCCGTTCCTCAGTCAAGAAGGTTACCCCTGTTGACGAGCGTATTCTGCTTGTGAGAATGAAGCACACTTTGGGCTTCATATCTCTAATTGCAGTTTACGCTCCTACTGAGGGAAGTGGGCTTGAAGAGAAAGAGATGTTCTACGCCAAACTTGACTCTATAGTGGATCAATGTCCCCGGGGGGACACCCTCATGGTCTTGAGGGACTTCAATGCAGTCACTGGCACTGACAGGGAAGGATACGAGCTATGCATCGGTCCCTATGGCTCTGGTACTAGGAACATCAATAGCTCATCCCTCTTAGACTTCGCAAGATCTAGGAGGCTGAGGATTGCGGGCTCCTGGTACCAGAGACGAGATCTCCACCGCTGGACTTGGTACTCCAATACTGGCGTTGTAGCTAAAGAGATCGACCATATTCTCGTGGATACTCGCTGGAGGATCCTTCAGAACTGTAGAGTTTTTAGGAGTGCTGAGTTCTTTGCTACCGACCACAGACTTGTTGTCGCAACACTAAGGCTCCGCCTCAGATCTAGACACATCCCGTGATCTCACCAGCAGGTGTTCTATCTCTAGAGGCTCAAGAGTGAGGAGGTGGCTCAGGAGTATGCAATGGCAGTCTCAAATCGGTTTGAAGTGCTTGATACTCTACAGGACCCTGCTGAACTGTGGGATACCTTTAAGCGAGGAACTCTGTCAGCTGCCGAGGAGTGCCTTGGTGTCTGACCTCGGCGAAGTAGGTGTGTTTTCTCAGACGAGACACTGAACACTATAGAGATGAGTCGTGCTGCCAGACTGGATGGGAACCATGTCTTGCACAGGGAGCTGTCTCGCTCTGTTAGGGCCTCTTTGAGAGTGGACCAAGAGAGGTACGTTAGGGGCATCGTGGAAGAGTTGGAAGGTCATTTTGCTCAAAATGACCTTCGACCTGCTTTCCGAGCCCTGAGGGAACTCCGATCAAAGTCCATCTCTCAATCGGGCTCAGTGAGAGCAGAGGATGGTCGCATTGTGTCAGAGCCTGGTGAGTATAGGGCCCGCTGGGCTGAGTACTTTGAGCAACTGTATAGGGTAGATCCCCCGTCTTCACAACTCCCGTTGGCTGGCACACAGCCACTAGTGGCTGATCCACCAATCAGTGAGGCACCACCTTCCATCGAAGAGGTGAGAAGGGCAGTGTCTAAGCTGAAAAGTGGAAAGGCGGCTGGTGTCTGTGGGATTGCTGCAGAGTTGTTGAAGGCGGGTGGAGAAGGCATGATCTGTGGTTTGCATGCAGTCCTGTGTGCCATTTGGGAGACTGGTACCATTCCCCCTGACTGGAAAAGGGGCTTGGTCATCCCTATCTGGAAAGGGAAAGGGGACCAAAAGGACTGTGGCAACTACAGAGGTATTACATTGCTCAGCGTACCAGGCAAGGTCCTCGCTCATCTGCTTCTGGCACGAGTGCGCGACCACCTATTATGAGCACAGAGACCTGAGCAGTCTGGTTTTACACCCAAGAAGTCAACTATAGACTGTGTCTTAGCACTTCGTGTCCTTGTGGAACGCCGACTTGAGTTTCAACAGGGTATGCTTGCAGCTTATGTTGATCTCAAGAAGGCTTTCGACTCAGTGCACCGGGAGAGCCTCTGGAGCCTACTGGGTCTCCGTGGGATCCCCCCTGGAATTATTGGTTTGCTGTCTGGCCTGTATACAGATACTGAGAGTGCTGTCAAGTGTGGGGAGGGCATCTCTGCCTTCTTCCCGGTGTCTGCCGGGGTGAGACAGGGATGTGTCCTGGCCCCAACCCTTTTCAACACTTGTATGGACTGGATACTTAGCCGTACCGTGAACCGTAGTTCCTGTGGGGCATCAATTGGTAATTTCAAGGTCACAGACCTTGACTTTGCCGATGATGCAGTGATTCTAGCGGAGACATTAGAGGTCCTGGAAGTAGCTCTCGAGGCGCTGCATGAGGAGGCAAAGCCATTGGGACTCGCGGTCAACTGGACCAAGACCAAGGTTCAGGAATTTGGGGACTTTTTGGATGTCGATGCTCAGTCTGTGCATGCCTGTGGCGAGAACATTGAGGTCTTGGATAGCTTCACTTATCTTGATAGTGTAGTGCAGAGCGACGGAGGTTCCGACCGGGAAGTCACTCGACGACTCGGACTGGCCTACGGCGTTATGGACTCACTCAATAGGAGTATTTGGCACTGTATTTGACTAGGAGAACTAAGATCAGGCTCTTCAGAGCACTGGTGATCCCGGTCTTGCTCTACGGGTGTAAGACCTGGACACTGAACAGTGCTCTGAAAGCCCGTCTTAACTCCTTCGGTACTAAGTGTCTTCGCAGAATCATGGGGTATACCTGGAGGGACCATGTGTCCAATCAGAGGATACTCCATGAGACTGATTCAAGACCTATTACCAGTCTGATACGAGAGCGCCAACTTCAGCTCTATGGACATGTGGCTCGTTTCCCTGAGGAAGATCCGGCTCATAGGGTCATCTCCGAGAGGGTTGACCCAGGCTGGAGAAGACCAAGGGGAAGGCCACGGAACTCATGGCTGAAGCAAGTCGATCAGATCTGCCAAGATGTACTGGGAGTGGGAAGGAATGCTGCATGGAGTCTCGCTCGGAGGGACCCCAGGAGATGCCCCCTTATGATGATGATACCACCCTTGTTTGTATGTGGCACTTTAACTTAAGGGGTTGTGCTCAGTGGACACATATGGTTTAAGATCTAAAGTATTTGTGTCCACCAAGCATTGCCCAATAATGGGGATGTCCTTAAATGTCCTTTCACCAATTGCACATACTTGAACACCATTCATTCAAAAATACTCAGCATACTACTATCACTACACTGATGCCACTTAGTGGTTAGTTTAGCAGGGAGGGTTGGGCTTACTAAACTACCTTCTGAAACTACCTCTTCGCCAAAGGGGAAGTTCTCGCTTCGTCTCTGAGAAGGGGCAGAACAGCTGCTTGTCCTGCAGACGATTTTCGTTGTATTACCATGCCACTCAGGGGTTCTTCCCTAGCAAGTTCAGTATATTCATTTCCAGGGTCATTATCCTTAATGCTAATATCCTGAGTTTGCTATGCAATGGTAAGAATAGTAATCAATCAATAGATATTGCATTGCGGTCTTTGTCTTTCCTTCTGGTCACATGGGGTAGGGTTCCCATAATGGCAACATTTCCTTCATCAATTCCATGGACTCCCAAAGATGGTATTTTCTTCCCATCTAGTTCACAACACCAGGAACGTGAAAACCAAAACTTCAACAAAACCAAACAAACAAGAAAAAAAAACATTCCTAGACAAGAAACAATTATGTTAGCTTAGGAATGATAAAACAATATAAAGTTATCAAATATAACTAAAACATTTCATGCATATTTTCTGAACTTAAATGAATCTTTCCAATAACAAAAATAATACATATTGTTTTCTTTATTAAAATATCAATCATGCAACCCTAATATTCCTTAATAGTACCATTGAAATATAACAGTTTCCTAATCTTAGTAAAACTAATATAGAAATATGTAGAACTTTATGCAAAAATGATAAGATAGATTATTTTTCTAGAAAAATAATTAAGTCCTTTTATTTAACACAACTAAAGACTAAAACTAAGGTATACATAATTTACATAATTTACTTAACATACCTAAAGACAAAGTGACCTATACACTGGATGGTTTCTAGACGAGGATCTCATGGGAAAATACCAAAAAGTAAATACCAAAAACTAAAGTCAAAATCTGGATCACCTACTAGATGTTTAAAAAATAACAACGAACTTTTTGATGAAAGTTCATCAGTATTTGTAAATAATAGAAAGCGTAAAGTGTATGTCGCAGAATTAATATATTGGTTCAGATGTCAGCAAACCTAAAGCTTCTTGGATGAATCTGGGCCAGAACTTAGAACTTAGGTGTCACAAAGTACCTGCAGCATGCATTTGGGTCCTGCCGTAGCAATCTATGTTCTCTTTTGGTTTCACACACCCGTTGGTTCTGGCTGTTAGTATGAATCTACAGTAAGTGTAGTTTAAAAATAATGTTTCCATTCAGCAGCTGCTAATACTGTAGCATAAAGCGCGTATCAGTAGCGTAAAGCTATTTATGTAATACCAACTCTCAGATTAGTCCACACACGCTCCTCCCATTGACTAGATATTTATTGAAGATAACTTTATGCCATTCTTATCCATATATATTCTGTCTACGTTGTAGCTTGTGTGTGTGTGTTTTTGTGGGTATATGTGCGATTTTGCGTCTGTGATGGTCGTCTGTTTATATAGCTGTGACTCTTGCTTTTGGCTTTCGGTTTGCATATAACATCCATGCGTGAACGTATGTATCTATCTATATATGTGTATATATTATATTCATATATATATATATAAATTCTTATATATTACATATATACTTTATATATAATATATATGATATATATAAACATATTTATCCCCACACACACACATATATATACATACTTATATATTTACATATATATACATATATACATATATATATCCATACTCATATATTTACATATATATATATACATATATATATATATATATATATATATACATGTATTTGTGTGTGTGTAAATATATATAAATGTATATATACACATATATATACATATATATGTGCATATATATGCATATATATATGTATATATACACAATATATATATATACATATATATATGTATATATATATATACATATATATATTAATAGATAAATAAAATATATATACATACATATCCATATATACATATATACACGTATACATATAAGTGTGCATATATAAGGTATATACATATACGCACACATGTATGTAAATATACATATGCTTATATATACTGTATATATATGGACAATCAGCAAATACAGTTGTATTTATATATATATATACATATACAGTATATGTATATATATGTGTGTATATACATATCCACTATATATGCATATATATGTATGCATATGAAGCAACCAATCAATGGACAATATTAAGAAAGAGCGGTTTGGTAAATTAAAATTCGAAGTCAGTCTCACCATGGCTTCGCTTTGTGATGGATGTTACAACAAGCCATGAAACTTGTCAAATTATATTTTGAAGATAACGAAGCTAGCTTGGAAGTTCTACGGAATCACGGTGTTCTTCCTTCGCAAGTACTTTGCAAGCATTGCAATTTACCGTGCACGCTTCGTGATGGAAGGTGGTTCTGCAGCCGTTGGACAAAAATTGCAAAAACTAAAAGGCGGAAGCAGTGCTCCTTCACCCCCAAACACTCGGGGTCCGTTAGGTTAGGTTAACATTGCTTCTTTCTGGGGAGGTTAGGTTAGGTTTTATAGGTTTGTCTGCATGCCCCCTAATACCCGGGGTCCGGGGCGGAGCCCCGGCTGGGGAATACCCCCAACACTCGGGGTCCGGGACGGAGCCCCGGCTGGGGAATACCCCCAAACACTCGGGGTCCGGGGCGGAGCCCCGGCTGGGGAATACCCCCAACACTCGGGGTCCGGGACGGAGCCCCGGCTGGGGAATACCCCCAAACACTCGGGGTCCGGGGCGGAGCCCCGGCTGGGGAATACCCCCAAACACTCGGGGTCCGGGGCGGAGCCCCGGCTGGGGAATACCTCCAAACACTCGGGGTCCGTTAGGTTAGGTTAACATTGCTTCTTTCTGGGGAGGTCAACACTCGGGGTCCGGGGCGGAGCCCCGGCTGGGGAATACCCCCAACACTCGGGGTCCGGGGCGGAGCCCCGGCTGGGGAATACCCCCAAACACTCGGGGTCCGGGGCGGAGCCCCGGCTGGGGAATACCTCCAAACACTCGGGGTCCGTTAGGTTAGGTTAACATTGCTTCTTTCTGGGGAGGTCAGGTTAGGTTTTATAGGCTTGTCTGCATGCCCCCAAACACTCGGGGTCCGGAGCGGAGCCCAGCCCCCCCCCCCCCAACATTGGGGGGGGGGGGGGGGGGGCTGGATATATATACTCAAGTGACGAACATACTCGGCAAACGTGATAATACCAAAAACAGATAAAATGACGTAGCGATAATCTCGAAAACATAGATAAAATGACAGATTTTCGACTTGTTTACTCAGCTGTCGAGTACGTTTCCGTATTCTCGAATGCAAACAAAAGACGACCAACAATAATATATTCGCAATAACAGTGATTTCTTATGAAATAATTTATTTAGTCTAATTTAAAATATGGTATTTTTATGATTTTTAGAAATATAAGCGATCGGTCTCTATACACGTGAAACCGCATTTGCGATGGGTACGATAGCCAGATTCAACCTAACCAAAACAATAGAAATCGAACGAATCTAGTCTCGCCGTCGAAGGTAGTGTTTACGCTTTTTTCCAAATTTACCGACTTTCCTGTAGTAGTAAGGACTCGAAACTGATTTAGATGACCTCTATATCACACACATGTTCATGAGTAACACCAATAGAAAGGTAAAATGAAACGTGTGTTGCAGCTCGCAGATTCTATAAATCTGAGGCTCAAAGCCGATGGCCATGTTTCCATGCTAGTATAGTGGTAATGTCTCGGCCTCTCATGATAGGGGTCGGCTGTTCGCGCCCCGCCCAGGCGCGAGAAGTTGCAATTGTGGCCTGGAGGTTACTGCTGTGGCTGGGCACCACTGCTCATCTGAATCAGCACAAGCTGACACCCGTTAGCGAATCGATGTTAGTCGACACAGGCCGGGCTCCCCTCATGGGCATAGCCCGGTGGCCTGGTGGCCATTTTGGTTAATTACAAACTGCTTCCAACCCTCATTGCAGGCACTTGTCTTGCGGATACGTAATGATAGCCTAAAGGAACTATACTGCGGATTAAAGCTTTAAAATAACATTCTTCAAATAATATCAAAGATAGTTTCAATTTTGTATATATGTAATATATATATGTAATTTATTTTTACACACACACATATATATATATATTATAGAAATACTTATGTGTCGATTGTACCTTAAGTTGACCATTGTAACATGTATATTCACAGGTCTATCATAGAATTGATAGAAGTGAAAGGCTGCAATCACTTATTTTCGAAGCATTTTTCGTGTAAAAGAAAAGAGGATCTTGTCCTGTGATTTTACATGTGTCATCTCTTATATAAGATAAATATACATATACGGTGTGTGTATGCACAAATGTATGTATGTGTTTATATATATATACATGCATTAACGAATACATAATGGATATTTATAATATTTAAATAATATAGATAGATCTTTTTCTTTCATTCTGCCTCGTTTTGAGTACTGCTCTCCTGTGAGGGTCTGCTTAAGACTGCTTGATCATTCTTTTAATTCCATTCAATTTCCTGCCTGACTTAGATTTGGACACTGGGTATCTTACACAAAATTGTATCCGATAATTCACATCCCTTCTATGAAATCTTATCAACCTGCAGCACTTACTAGAAGTTGTATAACCCTCAATTCAATTCACATCCCTTCTATGAAATCTTATCAACCTGCAGCACTTACTAGAAGTTGTATAACCTTCAATTCAGTGATATTTGATGTAAGCCGACTGTCTAGTTCTCAGTTTTCTAGATACTTTTTTACTGCTATTTATAGACTATGTTTTTACCTCATGTATATATACATATGTATAAATGCATATGTATATTATTTTTCATATATATATATATATATATATATGCATATAAATGTCTGTGTATATATACATATACATATGTATATATGCATATGCGTTTTTTGTTTTTTTTTTCTTATATATATATATGTATATGTGTGTGTTTGTTTTTGTGTGTGCAAAGAAGCATATGTGTATATGTATATTTCTATATGTATAAACATGTATGTATATATATGTATATATACGTATAAATGTTTATATACATATTATCTTATTTATATATAAATATTTACATATAAATAAATTTATGTATATGGCTGTGTGCGTTCATGCGTATATATATATAATTTATTAACATGCTTTGTGAAATATTTTTCCTAAAATGTTTTTTTTTACAGCTATGCCTCTTCATATCTATTCGTGAGTTATCGTTCAGTTTCTTTCATTTGCAGACGAACTCCCATCAAAGTGAAACGCCCAACAAAGAAAAACACCAGCAAGGAAAAATGGACGTAAGTTGTTCTGACTCGTTTTACGATTGTCGCCTTTGTGGTCAGATATAGATCTATAGAAATATGTAACTGCGTAGGTATATGGAACTACATGTAAACATAAATACATAACTTTGTCTTAAATGTTTCCTTCACAAGCGCATGATATAAGTTCACTTGGTGGTCTACTTCCAGAGTAATCCTGAGGCATCTTATGGACATGGCCAACTGCAGTCTGCAAGTTACGGGGAGTTTTGTAATCCGGTGACTGATCAAGAACCAGAAATGAGGTGCTTAGATCCTACGACTTTAGAACCGGCAAGCCCTCAGCAAAAGTCCCATCCTCAACGCCCGTTACAATGCATGCCTCTACAGGAACCTGCACATGGATCCGACCAACAACATTTAACAAATAACCAGGCTCCTCTTGCTGTTCTTCAAAGTAATCTTGGCCGTAACGGCGCTAGAACAGAGCTGGTTGAGAGTGCCACTGATTTCACAGCTAATCCATCAAATCAGTATGATATGGAACTTTACAATGAAATGCATCCGAAATTTAATGGCAGCTTTGATGAATTCCTTATTCAGCAGCCAGCAACTCAACCCAAAGGCCTAGTAGACAATATTACAGACGTTTCTGCATTGCCTGATTTTCAGAAGACTAAAGATAATGATGTAGAACAGCCATCAATTATACTTGACCCGAATGTGGAGTATGAAGTATATGACCTGGTTCAAGTATGCAGCGAATCAGGCCCGCACCTAACAAATTGGGATGCAGACAAAGAGCAGCAAATATCCAAGCATACATATAAACTACCAGATGGAGAAATGGTCTTAATTGGTATGGATGAAAAAGACAGCCTGGTACAAATTTCTACAGTCTCTGATTTGTGGGTAAAGCTCGCAACCCCTGGTGAGAATCTTAAGCAATTCTTGCGTAAGAACTGGTCTAACATGTTGCATTATTTACCAGTTATTTACCAGTCAAAGCAATGTCGCTGGCAGGAAGAGGAACCCAATCCAAAGGATTTAAAGTTATGGTTCAAGGCTATCACGGAAAAGTACTGGACTGTAATGCTGGGGAAGACAGACAAGATCCCCACAAATGAAGAGGAAGGCATCATGTGGCAGAAAATATTTATGGAAAGATGTGAAACAGTCAGGCCACGTGCCAGAGGAAGGCCTTATTAATTCTCAACCTCATGTTATATATCCAATTTA